CTGTTCGGTTTGCATCCATTTATTTTAAGTATGATTTACACTCTATCTGATGCAAAATTTGCATTTTTTGTCACATCTGCATTCATTGACAGTGCAAATTTTGTATCTAAAAACTGATGTAAAATTTGCACCACTTTCATTCCACTTTATTTTTCTCTCATAAATTGAGGATCACATCATTGTCCTTTGTACCCTACTCCTAAAAGCCCCATTTTACTGCCTCCATTATCGTTCATATAAACTTGGAACCACAGATCTAAAAACAAAGTAAACTAGAACATATCTATCGACAAAAGAAAAAGTAACCAGAATTTATCTATCAACAAAAGAAGTAAACCAGAATTTATACTCAGACCATTTGCACTCCTATGTATTCACATCGTATTTTTTTTTGGTCAATAGCCTCACATCAGTACAAATGAAATTCAAACTGCAAACAAAATACAAGGATTTACACTCTACATATTTGTATTTATACTCCTTTCAAACTGAGCCTTAATACAAATACAACTATATAAAATTAATACAAGATTTTTGCACTGAACATATTTGTCTTTGCAATTATTCCAAAGAGAGCCTTAATTTACCACACAGAATATTTCTAGCATTATGGGTTGAAGATCATGAGGCATGATATTGGGGACCAGCTGTTTTGTAACTTGTGCATAGCTATGTTACCTTGAACCGCTATGCCCATGGTTTTAGTCATCAGCCCTGGACTAAGTGACAGGATCTGCTCCTCACAAATGGCTGCCTCACAGGTACATCAGAACATTTCCTATGAATAATAACCAATAAGTACGAGAGATATTTCCAATATATGATAGGATGTGCGTGTGATAGGCCAGGCGTGAGGAGCAGATCCGTCTCCTGGATTAAAACCACAGCATGGCAGAATTCTCCTCAATTTATCTTATGTACCGTACTTTTTTTTTGTTAGAACCTTTTTTAGGAGACATGGTACCTTCTCCTTACAGCTGGAACTAATGTATACAATAAATTATATATAGATTTCCTCTGTCCTTTGTGTGTTAATACATCAAAAGACATTTTTAATGGAATATTTTTTTTCACTTTTCTTATTAAAGCAATTCTACGGTACGGAGGTACATATGATAATTGGTAAAGCATTATAAGGCTGTAAATCTCGTGCACCCAACTCCCCAATCCATTCGAAAGAAATGCCCGGACCACATTACAATAGTGCTTTTTACAGCCTAAAATAGTGCTTTTGCAGTGGCAAAATGTTCCCCAATTGGAGTAGGTGTTTTATTTATATTAATTCATTTCTTCTTTTATATATATATATACAATGTTTTTATGTTGATGCAATTTAATACTTATAATATTTAGTTAAATAATGTTTCATTAAGCTGCCTAAACATGCTTATAAAATCCCAAACCTAAGGAGATTAATTAATTTGAAACCCAACCCTACACAATTGAGTATACTTTTTTATACTAAAATTGTGATTTTTTCTTTCTAAAATTTATGGAGACAATTTTGTTCTTTTCTTTAATTCTACGACCAATAACTTCTTTTATTGGGCAAAAAGAAAATCACTAACAACATACATTCCCATCATATCAGAAAGGTCATACATGTATGTAAAATTTACACATAAGAATTGAATATTACCTTTGATGCAATAATTTAATTTGTGGGCCAATCCTTTATACTTTGCATCTGTTTTCTTTTTCGAAAGAGGGACTCTTCACTCCATACGCTCTCACGTGGGTCACAGCAATAAACCACAAGACAACCTATTACCTTGTTGCCTCTATTTTTGTAACGTATATTTTATACATAAAAAAATCTGCATCAAGCTAGCCAAATCTCTGTATATATCTTTAATTCCAAGATCAGTGCCCTCCATTCAGAATCTGAACTCTCTCTAGCTTTACAATGAGTCCCTGCTGTATAAAGAACTTTTGATTAGAACTAACAAAAACCATACCTGTCTGTAACTGCTTTTCCTGCAGTTGGATCAAAAGATTCATCCACTGTTAATGGTGAATGGGAGTCGGGAGAGCACTCTTTTTCTTTCTTTCTTTGAAACATTTCGTTGCTTTGTTTTCGGAACAATTATTTATTTTCTTTACTACTTTAAGTTTATGTCACTTCACAATCGTTGGCATGTTTATAGGTATGCACGAAGTCAGGAACAAATCCAAAATGAGAGAGAGAGAAAGAGAGAGAGAGAGTTATGCCACTGCAGACAAAAGAGTTACGCCACCCCACCCTTGACAAACCTGACTGAGTGCAGTTGATGAGTAGGGTGAAGTGTGAGTTTTGAGATTTATTTCCAGAACAACTGGAGAAGAAATTCAATCAATTTTCTGAGGAAGAATGGAAAGCATCTAATTCCTATAAAGATTAAATCTAGACATGTTTAGTGACTTAGCTTGAATGTCTGTGATCTCTGTTACAGTTAGGCTCAGTTTGGAAAGAGTGCAAATATAATACATACAAAATACAAGATTTTGCACTCTACATATTTGTATTTATACTCCTTCCAAATTGAGTATAACACTAGCTAGCTAGAGTTACTCCAATTCAAGCTTCCCATAGCATCTAATTCCAATTGCAAGCTACAGTTACTTCATTTTAAAGAATTTGACAGACAAATTAAGTTGAGTTGTCAGTTTTTGACAAATTAAGCAAGCTCAATCCCATATTAGTGATGTGGGCATCCCCACCACCAATGAAGGTTTATTGGGGTTTATCTTAACAAAGACTGATCAAACAGACAAGGATCATCCAGGGACAGCAAACAAACCATCAATAACATTCTACAGAGAGGTCGTCCTCACGATGAAATGCAGTCTGAAAGTTATCGATTCCAAACTTTTCTTACACTTGAATATTGATTGGCTTTATTCTATATGCTTCCAATATTGATTGATTGGCTCTTTTCCTTCTCTACCCAGTGAAGCTGTGAAGCGTAAGGTGTTTGATTATTTAGCGTGTGACAGCTGCTTGCGCTGGTCTGGTCAGTGAGTCCAGCGTTAGACACATAGACCCACCACCCAAGGCCATACAAGCAAGGTCTGACACCAATACAGGACCCACGGTTTGACTTGCATATGGACAACCCAGTGCTGTATATGTGCTGTATTTTCACGCCCATGTATGTACATAGCCTGGAGTTGCTGGAGAAGTTTAGTCAGAGAGTCAGAGACTCAGAGTTCACACTCCTTCACTGTCTCAATTTCAAATTTAAGGGATTTGGGTCGTCTAATAAGGATCAGGACTACTGACCCACAACCCCATCCCGGCCCCTATCAACCTGCTGATGGGTTTGCTAATAATGGCCGTCCCAATCTTTATTGGGTTCAATCTCTTTTCTGGTGAAAATATCAGTGACCCAGAATTTATCTTATTTCAGGGATTACAAGGAGAACCCATGATAATATTAAAGTTGATGGAGGGTCCAGAAAGGTGATTACTGAAATGGGTTAGAGAGCAGAGAACTGTATCTGTATGAAGAGGCCCTCGTTTGCAGTGACTAAACCAGCTGATGCAGGATTAATTCCCTTCCCTGTTTTGGTATTCATGAAATGAAAATTGGTGGTCCATCTTCAACCATATATATATCTCAGATCTCTAGTAAGAGAACACTTCGCCACATGCTTGTATCCTAAATAAAGCACTGTCACACTAATTATCTATGGCCGGTACTTTTAGACTTGTTGCGTATACAGATTCAAAAGGGGTTTACTGTTTTGCCTTTGTCCCATTCAGGATATCATTGCTATTCATATAACTTTTTATGGCCTCTCCAATATTGGTAGGGTAGTAGATATTGACTGTCGATATATACCTTGATGGCTCTTCATATGTATGCATGACTTTTTCTTTTTTTATTTTTTTTCACTGGATGTTGCATTGATTGGTGAATGGGTGATTCGTTGATGGCCTCGCATCTGATTGATATCACATGTGATTTTATTGCCCTATTAAGTAAAGTTTTATGGGGTTAGGATTGAATAATATAATCCAGACCTGGTTTATCTCAGCTTTAATTATTGTTTAAATTACCCAACCAAATCAAAACCCATGTTAATTATGACCCAAATTAAGCAGAATTCAGACAGGTTCAAGCCTATCTCCATAAGTTTTTGCTTCATGAACAAGTTCAGCTCATCTTACAGAGAAAGGTCACCCAAATCCTCACTGCTGTATCAACAAATTCAACTCTAACTTGAAAAATCCCAAGGCAGTTCTCCCTGAACTGATAAGTAACCAAAGTTGTTCCCTCCGTATAAGATTAGTAGAACCGCTGAAGTACTTGAGATTGTAGTGTAAGAATGACCCGGTTGGGTCATGACCCGATTTGTGGCCCGTCATAGTGGCCACAACTTGGGTTGGTCAAAACTCTAGAGAGTTCCGAACATGAGTTCATTGGGAATGAGTTGGGAGACCTCCCACAATCACTCCATGTTTGTAGGAGTGTAATTGAATTTGAATTTAAAATTCAAATTTAATTAGATAATGGAGATGATTTAGGGAAATGATGGGATTTGGAGAGATTCTCTCTCAACATAATAGGGAAGTTCCTGATAGGAGGGACTAATTAGGAAGTGGAGAGAATTAATAGGATTTTAATTTTCTCCTTGAGTCAATCCCAATGAGACAATTCAAAAAGAGAAAACATTCAAGAGAACCTCTATCATTCTTCTTGAACAGAAGAGTGCTCCAAGAGAGGGATTGGCTTGAGAGGAGAAAGAAAATAGTGAACAACCAAGAGAATAAAAAAAGGAGGAAACTTAGTGCTTGCACGTTGGTCTTGCAAGAATAGCTCCAATAGTTCCAGACAACAATTACTTAAGGATGTGATTGCAAGAGAGGATTACACAGTCTTTGTCAAAACAAGGGAGCCTCAACGATTTACACAGGTTCCATCACCCACCAGATCAAACTCATGGTCATGGCTTCTAGAGGAGGTAAAAAGTTATATATATATATATATATATATATATATATATTAGTGCTACAAGTTTACAATTTGCCTCAATTCCGCTTGTTCCATAACTGTAGCTCACTAATTTGGAAAACAATTCAAGAGTTGGAGAAAAAAGAAAGAAATGACATTTTTTTTCCATAAATGAAGCTTCCTGTTACTGGGGATTGAACCAGGCCATCACACTCACTCAGGAAGCATTAACGAATTCGCTGACAAATTTTTTCAGTCTTCTAGATATCCTCGCAGCTCCAAAACCATGCATGGACTCTCCAATCTACACGAAAGAGAGCTTAAATATATTAGTTAAATTGCAAAAATTAATCACTCAGACTCAGTCACACAGTCACACTCTTCTGTTTTATCAAATCAAACCGACAAAATACAGAAAGAAAAGCGAGGTACAGAGATTTTAACTACCTCGGAATGCACTGTGTGGAAAATCATGTCATCGATTATGGAAAAATTGGCATTAACAATCTGAGCTCCTTCTTCATGAAGCAGACGTACAACCTCATAGAACATGAATTGCTGGTCCAGCCCACTGGTCAGAACCACATGTAAAGCAGAACCCATATCGTGAATCTCAATGTGGGGTGACTTCACCCCCACCATCATTCCACTACTTATGCTTCTACTTAATTTGTTTATTCCCATTAAATTCTCTTTCTTCTCTTTCATTCTTTCCAATTTCCGCTGCAACTTCTTTATATAATTTGCAGCTTCATTTAGTTGATCCGGCAACGACATAGTCTCCTGCAAGGCCACTAAAGATCATTTCCACATATTGAAAGAAACATAGAGAAAGAGAGAGAGGGAGGGAGGGAGGGGGAGATTATTTTTCATCCTTGTGCACACAAAGCAATAAGAGAGAGAGAGAGAGAGAGAACCTTAGAACTGTGGTTTGGGATAAGAGAATTGAGTTCAGAGTAGAGGTTCTTCATGTGATTTCTCCTGTTTCTCTCTACAGTCTTGCGATCGGTTTTGGAAGAAGCATTTGGGTGGCTTTCCATCTCTTAGGCTGTGAATTGTTTTAACAACAGAAAGGTAAGAGATTAGAGATGCTAAGAAAAACTTGTGGCCAGCGACGTTACTGTGTCTCTCTGCGGCAGCCACCCCCGGAGCCCTTCTCCTTATATCGGCAGAAGATGAGAAGAAAGCCCCATTAAAGG